CGGACTATGTGGACTTGAGCCCCATTAAGTTAGATCAAGTCAACAAAACTTGCAGTATAAGCATGGAGACAATGACAACACAAATATTTCAAACACGCGGCCTTCAAACTTCAGTCATGACTACGACTAGTCATTCTTTTTACTTGCTGCAATACAATTCCCTCAAATTAAATCGGCCCCATCTTTGTTGATTTTTGTGTTGAACAATGATGGTTTTCTGTGTCTTTATTAATTTTGTTATGGTGGTTTTTGGGATCACGCTTCCACTCGGTGGAGGTGTCTTCTTGTTCTATCCCCGTTCATTACTTGTTTGCCTCCTTGGTGTTTGCCTTTCTGTAGGCTTTCCTGTCCTCTTTTAGCTTTGTGCCTTGGTTTGTCTTCCCTTGTTTACAAAAATAAAAATAAAAAAAAATAAATGGGTATACTCTCCATGTGGAACTAAGAGAGGAAAAAAGAGTAGCTCTTCCATATTATTCTTGTGGCCATTATCACTTTGGCAAACATGTGTGCCAAACAAGATGTCACTACTTCATCGCGGAGGCACCGAGTTCAAGCAGTTTAAGACAAAATAAAACATTGGAGACAACTTTGAACAACGGATGCAAACCATTTCAAGTACCGTGAACTCAAATTTTCAAACTAAATTTTGTGTTCGATTTCAATGAGAGCAATCAATGTCTTTTTAGAAAAAAAAACGTGAGATTATTTTTGGCTCCACAAGAAGCCATAAGGTAAAAGATTAAGACGAAGAAGCAAGATGTACAGAACTAGATATCACCAATATAACTCCCTGAGCATACGAAGGAAGAAATCATGAAGTGAATAAAAAGAAAATTGATGGGAGAACACAAAGATGCTAATCTCATATTTTTCCATTGTTTCCAACGAAAACCAGAAGAGCTCTAAGGCTTAGTCTTTGTATGAAAAAAAAAAACTTTAGACTGTATGTTCCTTAATTGATCTCTCTTCACTCCATGAATGGATCAATTTTCTACTATGTTTAATAGTAAAATAATGTTAGGGAAACTAAATTCTTAAATTAAATTTGTAAATCAAATAATGTGTCACCAATAGAAAATAAAAACATTAATCAACAATTAAATAATAATTCAATCATCAACAACCATACCATTTGGTTTAAAAATTTTGATTTAAAAATTTAGTTTCCCTAACATTATTCATTCGAAAAACCACGCTATTTCTCCTTGTACATCATTGGCTTCAAATGGTCGCACAACTTTTCCAACACACTTATATTCAGCTTTACCAACATTGATAAATTAGTCAAAAGTTTCAGAGTCAGTTGGTTACACATTACTAATCAACATCGAGATAAATATACATATAGGCACAGGGTTTGTATTGAAAAGATCTTTATGCAATTAGTAATGGAACTATTAATATGAAAAACTTAACCTCATGTGGTTTTGGATGTGGGACATACTTCAACATATATTAGTTCAGTAATATCTGTGTGTGTATATATAGGGACACTTTGAATGCAGTCTCTAACTATGAATATTCTTTGACTTAAACTTTGTTAGTTTTCAATTTTTATCAAAGTCTCTGAAATTAATGTGATAATGTATTTCCCTATAGGTTACTATATTTTTAAATTAAAAATTGAAATTTATAGTTGTTTGTATTAATGAAATTTTAAATAAAAAAAACCCATAATTTGTGGATTAAAATTATTAAAATATAAATTATACTCTCCAATATATTTACACACACACACACACACACACATATATATATATGGGTACATTCATCAAAATTAACAAAAAAATTATTGTACCAAAATATGGGTACATTCTTCAAAACCACACAAAAAATAATAGATATTAGGCTTAATAACATTAGTAAATTTCTTTGATTAAACTTGACATGAATATGTTCTCAAATCAAGAAAAAGAATGTATCCATATAAGTTTAAAAATGAATTAGGAAAAAATTGATTAGATTTTATATATAAAAAAAAGGGTACATTTTACTACAACAAATCGGTAAATTTAAGAATGGGTACATTTTAAGACAAAAAAATTGAAAAATTACATGAATGGGTACATATAAGATTAAAAAATTGGAAACATTTTTATAAAAAAAATTAAGGTGTACAAATTTATTCTAATTTTTTTTTTTTTTTGAAAATGTTTTGAATTGAAAATTATTTGAAAATTATTTAGTAGTTTAATAAAGGTGTGAGTATTAAAATCCTAAATCAATCATTAATTTTTATTTTAAAAATTATGTAACTGACATGTAAATTTATTATTGTATTAATGTTAGAGACCTTGATCAAAATTTGAAAACTAATAAAGTTTCAATCAAAGAACATTAGTAACTAAGAATCGGATACTATTTTTTTCATATATATACATATTTACTAATTAATAAAATTCTCTTTGTCAATCAAAAGAGATTGAAAAGATAAATTACTCTTCTATCACAAAAAAAAATATATATATATATTGATAGGCAATAATGTAATTTCACAGGTCTAAATTTTACTATTCTTTATTGAAACCTTACCTACATGTGATATTAAAATACCTTCAATATTTAAAAATAAATAAATAAATAAATAACCAAAAACAAAAACCTTCCACCCCCAGGTTCACTCTCTCTTCCTCTCTTTCTCATTTTCTAAAAAAATGTGTTTATACACACAAAGTGTGTAGGCAAATGCTAGTATTTATTATAAGAGTAATATTAGGAAGACCAAAATATTAAACTAAATTTTGTATATCAAATGATTTAGTCTCTCTAGTATTATCATTTTTGAATAGCTAGGAGATCCACTCGATTGCATGCTCTCGATTATTGAGTGTGGACCTATTCGTCTACTGGTACTTCTCAGGCCGGCTATTTTAACCGCTGTCCGCCTTGGGAAAGGTCAGATTTTTGGGTGGAGCTTCGCAATTGTGCTTCACTACCCGCTTTGATACAAGTTCCAGTCTCCACCCAGCACCCAGCACGTCAAAACTCGAACAAAAGTGAAAGCCTATGCTTTCATGGCCAACCGCTCGTCAATGGTGGTCGCCGAATGCCAACTACACACGGACTTAGATTAACATATATTTGTCGTCTACTGTTTAATTTGTTAGACATAGGATGACTTGGACGTGTAAATGAAAGCCTAAATAAGAGTAAATTAAAGCAATGATTTTTTAATCTTAACCTAATTAGAGCAATGATCCTTGAACCATAAACCTATTACCATTAGCCTCTCAACTCATCAAAACGTAGAGTTATGATCATTTTCATCAACTCCATTAGAACTTCCATCAAAATGAGGCACGTGTCATATAATTGAGGTTGAATCAATGGGGAAATATGAAAAATAAAATAAGAAAAATTATATCAATGGTCTCACAACTTTAATTCAACGGGAAAAATGGTTTCTCAACTTTAACTTAATTGCAGCAATAGTCTTTCCAACATAACTCATTTTGAAAAATTTTTTATGGAATTGATGAAAATGATCATAGCTATACGTTTTGATGAATTGAGGGACCAATGATAATAAATTTTTAGTTAAGGAATCATTGCTATAATTTACTTCTTAATTAATTAATCAAGGAAACTGCAAGTGTTTAATTATTGATTATTTTTCAGGCGATGAAATAGAAAGAGTGAACCACAATTATAAACTATACATTGTTTGTGACATCCCACATCGCCCAGGGAACTGATCCTTAAATGTATATTCTCATCCTACCTAGCACGAGGCCTTTTGGGAGCTCACTGGCTTCGGGTTCCGTAGGAACTTCGAAGTTAAGCGAGTAGTGCGCAAGAGCACTCCCAGGATGGGTGACCCTCTGGGAAGTTGCTCATGAGTTCCCAGAAACAAAACCGTGAGGGAATGGTAAGCCCAAAGCGGACAATATCGTGCTACATTGGTGGAGCGGGCCCGGGAAGTGATCCGCCCCGGGCCGGGATGTGACATTGGTATCAGAGCCTATCCCTGGCCGGAAATGTGCCGACGAGGACGTCGGGCCCCTAAGGGGGGTGGATTGTGACATCCCACATCGCCCAGGGAACTGATCCTTAAATGTATATTCTCATCCTACCTAGCACGAGGCCTTTTAGGAGCTCACTGGCTTCAGGTTCCATGGGAACTCCGAAGTTAAGCGAGTAGCGCACGAGAGCACTCCCAGGATGGGTGACCCATCGGGAAGTTCTCGTGTGAGTTCCCAGAAACAAAACCGTGAGGGAATGGTAAGCCCAAAGCGGACAATATCGTGCTACGGTGGTGGAGCGGGCCCGGGAAGTGGTCCCACCCGGGCCGGGATGTGACATTGTTTCTATTGTCTTGAGTGACTAATTTATCAGATGTTGATGACTATAATAAACAAGAGCCAAACGCACATACAAAGAGAACGACTACTCTTCCAATGATATTCATAACATGGATGATACACTAATATTTTTGTGGAAGTATTCTTTTTCAAACCATGATACTGATAGAGGGTGAAGGACACAACCGATTTAATAACGATCTTGAAGTAATAACGCGTTGATTTAGTCACCTCTGAAGCCACAAAGGAATTTTTGAATTTTTTTTTTTTTTTTCATAAGCTCCAATTGCTTCATAGGAATTTAAAAAAAGTTTTTTTTTTATTTCTTTCATATATTTATAGCTATTATCATGAATTTTTTTTTTTTTTTTATGAATAATATTTGGATACTAACATTTTTTTTATTTTTTATCAAATGATAAATTTTATGAGATTAGATGTTAGATTAAGCACCGACCTCCTACTAGACCAATAAAATAAGAAGGTAGGTTGTCTGCCTTCCCATTTCCATACTCTCTCTATACCCTCCTGTTTGTGTGATCACGGTTAAACCACGTTAACATTTTATATTTCTTTTACTTTTTGTTTTATTATTTCTATAAAAAATTAATATAAAATGTTAACGTTGCTTAACGTGACTATACATTACAAAAGTACATGAGAAAGGTTTGGGAATGGAAGGGCAGACAAGACATTCCACCTTTATAAAATAAAGACACGTGTGCATTTTCAAGTCTCTAACCATGCAACCAGACATCCCTTATTCTGCAAACCAAACATTCTTCTTCTCCCTCATCGAGCACTGGATCCCCTCTCATCTCCGGCGACGCACCCGCAACCCCTCTCTTTGCCGGTGACCCCAATCCCTCTTTCCTGCGACCCACCAATCCCTTTCTTCTACAGCGACTGCGATCGTCGTCCTCCGTTATGGACGACGGCAATGATTGCGAACTGTCATCATCAATCAGGACAGTCCCTCTCACCATTTGATCTCAATCTGGTGATGTTTGTGGCGACGAGCAAGATCCTGAAGCCACAATTTCTGCCATTAATTAATTTGGATCTCCATAGTGGTTAGATGGGTGATAGCTTTTGTGAAAGAATTTGCAATGTTTTTGCTGTTCGGGAGTGAACTGTGGGGTGAGGGAAGGAGAAGAAGGATGTTTGGTTTGCAGGACTAAGAGTGTTTGGTTGTGTGGTTCGAGACTAGAAAATGGACAGGTGTCTTTATTTTATTGGAGGTCAGTAAATTTTGGATGATGAACAGTACCCAAGTATTATCCTTCTTTTTATTATGATAATTTTTGCGATTACATGCAAATATCGATTTCCAGTCATTAAATAATTGTTTTTTAATTATTGACATGCTTAAACCCTATTATAATTTTTGAAACTCAAAGGATTTGCACACAATGTATCCATTCTATATGTCATAAAATTGTCACTGGCATCCATCTAAAGTGTGCCGCTCAATGGGGGATCCAGGAGACCAACGACAACATTGAAATAATCCCAACCCGAGGCTTGACTTTTAATATTTTATCAGCGGAATTTTAATTAATTCCGGCGTAAACTAAGTCTTCTTGCAACTTGCATTTTCTTGCAGTAACAATAAATTAGTTATTTTCGTGTTCTGGTTAGTGATAAATTATCATAAGTTCGCTACTTGGATCATAGTAAGCAAACACGAGGTAAATCCACATGTATATTGATGGTCCTACATGTTCTTGCTGGATAAATAGTGGTTGCTAAGTGCGAATCCAAATAGGTACGGAAGTGAACATTTCTGCTAATCAAAGGGTACATCAAATACCTGTTTAATCTGCAATTCTGACTCGGTCATGTTTGATTGAAGTGCTAATATATGATCATGGGAATTGTTGATTTCACACTTACCAACTCTTCCGTTCACGCGGTTTGTAAAGTTTGCATAATTTGGTTCGGGAAAACAAGAAGTAAATTACAGAGACTTGGGAGAGAAGAATATTAGGAACCTTCGTCGATGCAAGAAAATTAGGAACCTTCGTCGATGCTTTCTTTTTTTTTTCTTTTTTTTTGTCGAAGTCGATGCTTATTTTTTTATTGAGTCAATTTTTTTTTAATAAACTTGAACAACTAGTCTCAACGAAACATTAATTAATCCGGATGCACATTAATAGGCAGGCATTGATTTGTTTTCGGAAAGGAATTTCCTGGATCGGTAACAATCTTCATTTGCATGAAACATAGCAGGCTTCGATTTCTGCCACTCGGATGCGCTCTCTCTCTACTCGATCCACCTTGTAAACTGAAAGCCTCCTAAACTTAGCAATCCAGGTATCGTTGCTATAAGCTTCCATGTAACTAAACTCTCTCTCTCTCTCTCTCTCTGATGATCACTTTTTTTTACTGCCAGGCTAGCAGCGAGTACTGATCATCACGGTGTATCATAAACACGAATTGAGTAGTTATGGCCAACAGAAGAGAAGCTTTAGATGTGGAGAACCAGGGAAAGGGGTTAGTACTTTACATTAAGACTGCAATTTTTTGTCTGTAATTTTTCAAAATATAAATTTTTATCAAAAACTGGGGTTTGTATCATATCTGTACTGGCTTTGGCTGGTCAAAATACTTCATTGATCATATATCTGTAACTTGTGATTAAGATTCCTGCACAACCTTCACTTATATGCTGCGTTGGGGCAATTTGAGTCACTTGTGTTTCAATCTCACCTTACACTTTCAAATGCCGAGCATTTAATTTTCTGCTTATTAATTGTCTCTCTAATTTTTTTCCTCATGAACTAAAACATGCATATCCACTGGTTTATGTATTAGTATTACCGTATAAACTCTAATTGTCTTCGAAACAGCACCCTACTGGATCTTTTTATGTTTCTTCATGATTCTGAGGGGTGCAATTTGTTCTTTTCTTTGTCGTTTCAAGTCGGAAACCAGGGACTACAACGAGATATGCCCCAGCAATGCGAATTCGTGATGAACAGGGGAAATTCCTTCTCAGATGGAGCATGATATTTGTAATGTCCTGTGTGTTTGCCGTCACATTAGATCCTCTGTTCTTTTACATTTTAATCATTGATCAAGACAAGAAGTGCCTTCAAATGGACAAAACGCTGAGCACTACTGTTCTTGTTTTGCGATCACTCACGGATTTCATTTTCTTTGTGCATTTTATATATAAAATTTACGACGTCTTTATAGTTCAAAAGAACAAACAGTTGACGGCTAATGAGGCCGCAGATACCCTGCAACTTGTGGCCTCGAGTACCCTGCAAACTGGAGGAAATTTGGATCGGAAATCAAAAAGAATATTGTTGTGGTCATCTCTTTCCATTATAAATGATTTTCTCGCTCTTCTTCCCGTCCCACAAGTAAGAGAAACTAAACTCTATTTTTTTTTGTGAGGCTATTCTTAACCAACTAGCTGTAATTAGTGAATTTCAAACCTCTTTTTATTTCTTTTCTCCAGCTGTTAATTGTAATCGCTTTTTACAAAATGAGAGCCGCTGGATATATGGAACATAAAAAGGCTCTAAATGTCTTCCTTCTTGGTCAATATCTACCAAGGATATTTCGAATTCACCAGTCATCCAAGGAACTTCGAGAGAATGCTGGACCATGGGTTAGAGGTCTATTCAATTTTTTTCTCTACATTCTTGCCAGTCATGTAAGTTTCGCCTCAATTGTCATTTTATTACAATATTATGTATTCACTTATGCCAGTTTAAACTTTCTTTTAGAAATGTTGGACTATCGTTGATTTTGTTTGCGTTTTTTTGGTTTACATGTACTCTCAAACTTACTCTCATCATGAATTTCTGTGTTCGATTTGGTTAATGTAAAAACTCATAGCATTGCCCTACATAATTTTTCCTTAATGCAGATACTTGGAGCTTTTTGGTATTTCTTTTCTATTCAACGAGAGACATCATGCTGGTACAGTGCATGTGCAAATCATAGTCTTGATCCTGCTGGATGTATGAATACTTTCTACTGTGGGCATCGAACTACTACTTCGAGAAATATTATACTTCTAAACGAGCGTTGCAGGCTAGATACTCCAGATGGTGCTTCGGCACCATTTAATTTTGGAATATTTCTCGATTCTCTTAAGAATCATAGCACAGAGCATATCCATTTTAGAAAGAAGTTCCTTTACTCTTTCTGGTGGGGCTTGCGAAATATAAGGTTTGCATGGATGCACTGACGGCCCACAATTTTTCAAATTAATGAATAAAAACATATCTTGCTTAGACACAATACCCTATATATTGCTGGATCAAGTAACTACTTTTTTTGCAGTAATTTTGGAACGAATCTGACAACAAGCACTTATGTCTGGGAAAACTTGTTTGCAATTCTTATCTCCATCATTGGCTTGCTACTGTTCTTATATCTTATCGGAAATGTACAGGTTGGTATCAACTGAATCTCCCTATATATTTGATTGATTATCTATGTTTTTAAGGGCCGCTGTCGTATAATTATTTGTGAATGGTATTGGAATTGTATAAGATACCTAAGTTCTTTGGTGAAAGAGAATTTAATGCAGATAGAAGCTTACTAATGAATTCTACTTGTGGTGAGACAGAATTTAATGCTGAAAGAAGCTACAAAAACAAAAGAGGAAACACAGATAAATCAGGTGAAGATGCTGTTAGAAGCTACAGAACAGATAATTCAGGCGAAGATGCTGAAAGAAGCTACAAAAATAAAAGAGGAGGAAAGACAGATAATTCAGGTGAAGATGCTGGGTGTACGCAAGTGGATATTCGAAAATAAATTCCCTGATCATATCAAGAACGAAATCGTGAATAGCATTGAGCAAACATTGAGAAAAAACAAAGATGCTGATGTTGACAAGCCATTCCTTATTCTTCCCTGGCAAACCAAAAGATCTGTAAAACGCCATCTTTTCATGGATACACTAAAAATAGTATGTTCTTCAACCCTCGATCTCTCTCTCTCTCTATCTAGTAATACTGCAATGTTGTTCTGATAATATATGTCTCTGCGCGCGCATGTGTTTAGGTAAACAAGCTTAAAGACATGGATGAAAGAGTGTTGACATTGATGTGCGACTACCTGAAGCCAGTGACATACATTGAGAACAGCTTCGTTTTCCGAATGGGAGATCCGCTCGATTGCATGTTGTTCATTATCGAAGGAACAATTTGGACCTACGCGTCGAAGGATAGTCAAGTTGGGAATGGAATCTCATCAATGGTCACCAAGCCCCTCAGGAAATGTCACTTTTACGGGGAAGAGCTTCTCGATTGGGCATCAGAGAGTTTCACCGAACTTCCTGTCTCCAGCAAACATGTCAAAAGTCAGACAAAAGTAGAAGCATTTGTGCTCATGGCCAAGGACTTGGAAACTGTAGTCTCCAGAAGCAAACCATCTTGGCATTTGCTCAAGTGTAACAATCCTGGAGAGGTGGCAATTTCTACCTTCCGTCGTTTCCGACCACGCCCGCCCCTGTTCCCGGCTGGAACAGCGGATGCCAATGGTGAGAGCTTGCCATCGGCAGCAGGCAATTAGTATCTTCAGAAACGTCAAAGCAGGGACGCTCAATTTATGGCCAAGAATTCCACACGTGGCAATAGTATTGTTGGTTGATAACTTAATATTTACCCGTACTTTGCAATGGTTTAGTGGTAGCCGCATTACCATTTCTCACAGGGATATGTATATACGCAGGGGTGTTTTGATATATGAGCCTTGTTTTTTAATTTTTTAGACTAAACATACATTCTTTTTGAAAATTTGATCAAACATTTTCTTAAAATTTTGATTATTAATTTCAGTTTTTCACATAAGTTCAATTTTGTTTAGAATTTCAGTTTTTCACATAAGTTCAATTTTGTTTAAAATTTTGAAAATTTGGTCATGTTGTGAAATGCTTTGCAAAGTGATTGATTTCTGCAAACCTTTTTTCTTTTTCTGAACTTCTTTGTTTATTTATGAGATTTAGATTGAATAAATAAAAAGATAATCAAGGAATAAAAATAAACAGGAGAATGTAGGATGAGAAAATGAGTGTGTGAAAGTTATTTTCCTAAATTAATTTGCAATTATAGGTCAAGTCAATGAGCTATTGAACCTTATAGTACTTGAATTTTTTTTTTTTGGTCTGAAAAGTAAATTTCATTAATAAAAAAGAAGGTTATAAGTCAACACTGAGGAAGGCAAAGTAACCCAAATACAATGGGGGATAACAGATACATTAAAGTCCAGTCCAATTAAATAAACAAAAACGAAAATCCAAATCCCTAATCTCCGACCATAGAAAGCAGTGTCTGCCATCGCCACGAAATTCTTGCCAGCAGCTACCGAAGGAGCAACACTAAAGAAAACGACCTAGTGGTGAAATCGACCAATATATCGCAGCACAAAAGTACCAAACCCGCAACCAAATGCACACCACATCTAGATTTCTTCACCAAAGATGCAGAACCATGAGATAGTCATTGGATCCAAATCTCATTCACCAGTACCTACAAATATAATAATAATAATTTTAAATAGAAGAAGGAAATCTAGGCCAAGGCTTGGGCCCTTTTAAAGCCATTACGGATTGTTTCAAACTTGGGCCATTATTGAACAGTATATGTTCACGATTTTTAATATTAAGGCCCATTAAACAGGCCTGCTCGTTTTAGCGATAACGAGAAGCCCAACCCAGATCAGAAAAGGGCAAAAAAAAAACACGTGCAGAGCTTAAGGAGATGAAGTGAGAAGACTAAAGCAAACCGTGCTCCTCGTCGTCCTGTCCAAGCAGCAACTCAAAAGTCAACAAATAGTTTATTTGGATGTGCTTTTAAAATGACTGAAAGTATTTTTATAAAAATTGTTTTTGAGTTTCAAAAGAATTTTTTGCCAGGATTTACTTGTATTTTTACTAAAGATTGGTTTCAAAATCATTTTTCCCAAAAACGTTATCAGTTATTTCAAAAAAACATCCAAACAAACTCAAATATGACGGTTGGTCTCGGCAACGTACACTGCTCGCCCTCGTTCGATCATGCAGCGGTGCTACTATGTCCGTCGGCCTACTCACCGCCGATTGAGGGATCCAGGACACCAATGGCAAGTTGGCAACACTGAAAGCATCAATATCGACGCAAGGTTTGACTTCCAATTTTTTGTCAGAGAAATTTTAATTAAACTAATCCTTCTTCCAACTTGCATTTTCTCACAATAACAGTAAATTAGTTGTTTCCGTGTTCTGATTAGTGATTAATTATCATATGTTCATGGCTTGGATTATAGTAAGTAAACATGAGCTAAATCCATACATATATATATATATGTGTGTGTGTGTGTGTGTGTGTGTATATATATATATATATTGATGGTCCTGTATGTTCTTGCTGGTTGTGTGAATCCAAACAGGTGTAGAAATGATTATTTTTTGCTAATCAAAGTTTATAAGTCTTCAGTGGCGGAGCCATAATTTTTGATGAGGAGAAGCCTTTAACAAAAAAAAAAGACGGTATTTAATATACCCAAAATATCACTTAAATAAACACAAATACCCTTAAACTTTAAACCTAATAAATTAAAAACCAAAATCCTATTAGATGAAGAGTACTTACAACTAAACTTAAAAATTGGTAGAGACCTAGTGAAGGCATCAACTGTTGGTGGAGATTGTGTACCCCTAAACGAAGATGGGTGTAGATGGTTAATTTTTTGCATTTTTGCTCGTTTACGTTTTCTCTTTGCTTTTGTAGTTTCTTCCTTCAATTGAATATTTATGGAAGAATGAATTGTCAATTTTTGTAACGTTATATATTTGAAATTTCTGTTGGATTATATGTACTTCGTATTTAATTTTCCACACCCTTGCATTATTGAGGGTGTTGTCCATGTCAGGATTCTGTTTTGAAGGTTATCATTGACTGTGATAGTGAATCAAGAGATTTGTTGTGTTCTTGGAAAGTGCAAAAGCATATTTTTAAGGTTTACGAAATAGAAATTCTTTGGGTGCATATTAGAAAAATTAGTGGAATCACCACTTGATTATTGCACAAGAATTTTGTAATCAACAACTAGTTATTTGTATGAATTAAAGGTATTTATATCTATTTAAGTGATATTTTCTTGGATATATTTGAAAGTTTTTATAAAAATTGATATTTTTGAAATTAGAGGCTAATATTTGACTATATTTGATAAATACTCCTCATGTAGTATGTAGAATATGTGAAATTTTAAAGGCTTAAGCATAACCCATCACTAATATCATTGATATTGTTCAAACTTAATCATCTATTACTAGTGTTGAATTTTATCACAAAAAATCTATGTAATATTAGAAATAGAAACTCTCAAATATTAATTGTATATTATTTAATCGTATGACTGATGTAGAATCCTATTTTCCATTAATAAAAGAAACTCTGAAATTTAAAACTCATTAGTTGAATAGATTTCAAATTTGAGATGACAAAATGTATGAGATTTCAAAAAAGAAAAAAGAGAATTGATCTGGAGCCTGACTGCACTATTAAAAATAAATGTTGTTTAATTTTTATAATTAAACTGAACGATTTCTCATAAATAAATAAAAATAATAAAAAAAAGCGAAATATTTCTTTGACTCTAAGTCCCATTAATTTATGTTAGAGAAATAGATAAAATATTAAATTTTTTTGGTAAAATAAAATATTAAATTTAATTGTAAGATGAGATTCTCTCAGAAAGATTCATAATTTTATTTTTTCAAAAAGATGCAATCCCCGATCCCCCAGGAAAGAGATTATCTCAGAATATCTACAGCCAAAAGCAGAGTGACTTGTCTAATCAAATGACACTTTAATCTGCATTTCTGACATGAGCACAGAAGCCAGTGACTTTGTTAATGAAGTAGAATTATCTCCGCTCTTTATTTCTTTTTCATTTTCTCGGTTCTTATTTGAACGGTCACGATTAAGTCACGTTAACATGTTATATTAATTTTTTATAACAAGAAAAATACAAAATAAGAGAATATGAGAGGATGGAAGGGAACGGATAGAGATGGAAAGAGAAGGGGAGAGAATCTTAATCCTTTGTTAATTTCGGAAATGGATCATAGGGATCCTCACATCTCAGCTTTTTATCATGTATCATACGATTATAAATCATTTTAACTTTTATTATTTAAAATTAAATAGAAATAATATCCGACGAAAATTGACCGTACAATATACAATTAACAGCTAAGATGTAGGGATCCTAAGATAAAGATTCGGAGAGAATCCATTTCCAATAATTTCGACCCGAATCAAAAAATGAGTAAGATTCTCTCTATTCCTATTGCCATCATCTTCTCCTTTCATACTCTTATTTTTGTCTTATTCACTATGTAAAAAATTCAAAATAAGTCAATAATCAATATCATAATTAATAAAGGAGCTTTAACAGCTAGTCTCAAATCAATGAAGCATTAATTAATCCTGATTAACTGCATATTAATAGGTAGAACTTTGATTTGTTTTCGGAAAGGTATTCCATGGGTCGATAACATCGCAGAAAATGCTAGCAGGCTTCGGTTTGCCACTAGACTGTTCATCTTCTATACTCTGGTTTAAGAAGAAATCTGAGGGTGGAAGGTTGAATTCTAGATGCCATTTCGTATTTATATCATCACCTTTAAATCCATCAGAATCCCTCCCCTACTAAAATTTTAACAAATCTTTGGCATTTTCACTACACTTAAATTTGGGTGGACTTTTTTAAAATTTAATTGACTAACCTTGGATTTGAATTTATTCTTTAAAATCTTAATTTGACTACGCAATGATTTTAAAGTATTTTAAATTTCCCGTTTAAAATCTTAAATAACTACACTTGAATTTTAAAGTCTATTAAAATCCTATCACACTTCCTAAAATAAAATATAAAAAATCTCTGTTTGGTAGCGACCTCACCGTTGAAGAGGGTCACCACTTTGTCGTCTGATACGAGCTCCGCCAGTATGTTCTTTAACCCTTGATCTCTCTCTCTCTCTCTCTCTCTCTCTCTCTCCAACCCATCTATTAATTGCATCCGTTTTCACTCCAATATTGTTCTAATAATATATGTCTCTGCTTGTGCGCACATGTGTTTAGGTAAACAAGCTTAAAGACATGAATGAAACAGTGTTGACGTTGATGTGCGACTACCTGAAGACAGTGACATACATTGAGAATAGCTTCGTGTTCCGAATGGGAGATCCACTCGACTGCATGCTGTTTATTGTCGAGGGGACAATGTGGACCTACGCGTCTAGAGTCAAGCTGGGAGTGGAACCTCATCAATGGACATCAAGCCCCTCGGGAAATGGCACTTTTACGGGGAAGAGCTTCTCAATTAGGCATCACACACTTTCACCAAACTTCCAGTCTCCAGCAAACATGTCAAAAGTCAGACAAAAGTAGAAGCATTTGTGCTCATGGCCAAGGACTTGGAAGCTGTCGTCTACAGATACAAACAATGTTGGGACTTGGTCTATTCTAACAATCGTAAAGAGTGGTACTTTCTACCTTCCGTCGTTTCCGTACCAAGGCGCAACAACGCCCGTCCTCGTCCCTGGCTGGAATAGCGGTTACCAATGGTGAGAGCTTGCCATCAACAGCAGGCAAATAGTATCTTCAGAAACGTCAAAGTAGAAACGCTCAATTTATGGCCAAGAGTTCCATACACAACTCTAGCTGAGTACAATTTGTATAATTGTATGTAGCTGTGGCCTTAAAACAATAACATTATTATTG